ATGGTTAAGAACTGGCTTGGGACGCCAGAGGGCCCCGGTTCGGATCCCACATATGAGGGCCAGTGACACCACCCTCCGCAGCTAAGATGCTGAAAAATAGCTCGACCTGGGGCTGGGTTGCCATGAGTCGCCGGCGAAGGCGTAGGCTGCAGCCCTTGCTGCAGTGGGTTGCCATGGCTACCGTGTGTAGCCAGCAGCCAGAGTGAGTGGCCCTCAAGTCGCCCTGAGCAGCTGTCCAGAAACCGGTGACTGATCTGCCTTGCCCAGGAAGAGCGCAATGATGGTGCCAACTTGGGCCAGTGAAGCAACGTCCTCCACAACCAGACTGAAGAACAAAAGGACAGCAACTTGTCTGTTCCCCTTCCCCCAATTCCCCAGCACTATCCCCATCCCCGCAATTCCCCAATAAAAATCTTAAAAAAAAAAATCATAAGGAAAAGAAAATACAGCTATTTATTGAAAAAACATCCGCATATAAGTGGACCTGTGCAGTTCAAACCCATGTTGTTCAACGGTCAGGTGTATTAATTAAAAATGTTTTCATCAGACAGACATAAGAAGAAACTGGTGTACCGACACCCCAAGGACACTGTAATTTCGAACAACTCTAAGTACGCTGGCCATTTAGCACAGAGCCTGAGGGTTTGAACTCTAGAGTCAGACAGCACTAGGGTGGAATCCCAGCTCCACAGCCTCCAACATGATTAATCTTAATTCCCTCATTTGGTAAATTGAGACAGAACTACTGCCCACCTCCTAAATGGTATGGCAATACAGGATAGGGCAATGTGTCAAAAACCGAGCAAAACAGGGAAGGGAAGGAACATTTACTGAGCTTAGCTCTCAGGAAAGAACACTCACATGTATGTGCATTTTACAAAGAAGGAAACCTGACTCCGATATGAATTTGTCCAACGTCACACAGAGCAGGGCTCCAAAGCCAAGCCTGTCAGCTCCAAAACCCACCTCCTTCTACTACACGAGGCTATCAAAGCAGTCAAGAAAGTCAGAGGCTGAAGAAAAGCCAGAAAAAACAAGGGTGGAAAACAGGACACTGCGTCAGGTGATGCAGAAGAGAAGAAATGAAGAAAAACTTGTGTAGTAATTTTGATGGTCAGAGGGAAGACAAAGGATGGTAGCTTGAGAAAAAAAGTCAAGGGAAGACTTTTTGTAAGGGCAGGAAAGCTTTGAAAATAACGGCAGAAAAAAAATGTGTCACTAACCCAGGAAGGCAGAACTGAAGATGCTACAAGAGGGAGATGGCTGACGCAGTTCGTTCCTAGAGGAGGCAGGACAGCTGAACGGGAACACAGAGGCCAGACTTCCCTTGGCAAGGAGGTGAGACGCATGTCAGAGGACCCAAGGACGGGGAAGAGTGTTAAAGATCACATAAGATAGCTTTGTTCATTAACAAGGAGACACGTTAACTGTTCTGGAAAATTTGATAAATGATTAGGGCCTAGAACTTTAGCTATGTAAGAAATGTATATGGGTACAATCCTACACTCAAATGAAGTGAAAACATTTCTACTTCACGGTAGAACACTAACATTGGTCAGTTTTCTAACCAATTTATCTGACACTTTAAAGGTTAGTTGTCTCCTGTATGTCAAAAAGCCAACTTCTTTTTCCCTTAGTTTTATCAAATCATTCACATTCTCATCTCAATTCAACAATATTACTGAACATCTATTACTGAGCATGCATTAGACACTTCCAGGGAGACAATAATAAACAGGAAATGATCCTTGCACTCAAAAAGCATTTCAAATATAAGGAAAACTCAGGATAATGCCTCTGCCTCTCCCCTCAGGAATCTACCGGAGCACCCAATAATAATAATACAGTCTGATTTGCATTATCAAGAGAAAAACAATATTCCACGAGCCTATTGATATAAATAGAAAAATGCTACCAAGAGGCTACAGTGGTGACTGAAGGATTATACAGACAGTTAAGCCCCAACTCTTTCTCCGATTCACTACATAATCTTAGAAAACAATCTTCTGGGTTTTCTTTTTCCTTTATACTAGTTAAATCCAGATATCAAAAACCAAAAAGAACTCATGTTCTACATTACACTTGGTTAATGTAAAGAGTCCCTAATTAAATCTCTCATTTATGGCTGTCCCCAATTTTCAGGGTAACTTCTCCACATTTTGATAGTTCCCTTCAATGTAAGTTCACCTTTCTGATGGGTAAAATTAAACAGTTTCTGGTTAGGTACCCCAAGGTTTTGTGAAGTATCTATTATTCCCATTAATAACTCCCTTTCTGCTCAGAGTTCCTGGTGTGGGTTCTGTTTTCCACAACAAGAATTCTGACCAGTCAAGAGCCTGAAAATATAAAGAAAAAGTAAAGTATATGGGGATAGTGGATTGGAGAAAGAAGAAGAGGTAGTAGCACTAATTATAAAGCAATCACTGTAGGTACTACAGACATTAAAAAATATCATGGGGGCGACTGGTCAGCTCCGTTGGTTAGAACGTGGTGCTGATAATACCAAGGTTGCTGGTTGGATCCCCGCATAGGCCACTGTGCGCTGTGCCCTCCCTAAAATATGCCATTGAAAGTAATGTGTAACCAATGACCATGGCTGTTCCCCAATAAAATAAAATTTNTTTTTTCCCAAAGATTTTTACTAAAATACAGCTAACATACAATAGTATAATTAGTTTCAGGAGCAGCTGCCCTACTTTTTTGAAGGAGGTTTCCCTTTGTCTCAGGACTCCCTGCTGTCTGCGCATCATTCTCTATCACCAACCCAGTATATTTCTTTTAGAGTGCTTACCCCAATTTGTTATCATTTTGTTTATTCTGTTTACTTGTTCTTTATAGTCTCAGCATGCTATGAATTCCATAAGAACAAGGACAGTGTCACTCTTTCAACAGTGTAGCACTTAGCACAGTGCCTGGCACACAGCTAACATAGTTGCTAAGAAAATGAAGGAAGAAGGGACTCAATCAATCTAGGCAGTGCCCTGAATGGACCATGAAAAACATGGACTGTGTGAGGTAGAGCAGGTAGTGGTCAAGAGTGCAGGCCCCAGAGTGAAACCACCGGGTTTCAAAGGCCATGTCTCTGCACCACCTTGGGCAGGTTACTCCTCTATGCCAGTTTCTGCATCTGTAAAATGGAGACAGTACCAGTACCTGTCCTTCTAGAGAGAGTGTAAGATTTAATGGAGAGAATGCATGTCGAGTTCCTATCACAGTGCCTACTCAGAACAACAGACCTCAACAGCCATTTCTATCCTTCCAGAAGTGACTTTAAGATATGACTAATAGCGCTTTGTTTATGGTATGAGAAACTACTTTGAATATCTTAATAACAATTTCAAGATGTGCAAGTCCATTAGGGATTTCTTTCTAGTAATTAAAATATTTCCTTCAAGCCATAAATTTATTAATCTAAAGGCCTTCTACATATAACACAAAAGGCATAATTCTGTTTTTTAAGAGTTTATCACCTGAAAGAAGAAATCACTATGACTCTCATATGTTTCATGAAATCAATAATATTCTATGTGATTACTATCTATTTTAAGTGTATTTACAATGGTACTTTCAATGCTAATCTATTAGTTAAAACATGTAACAGAACAGTAACTTCCATTTGTGCGTTTTATACTTTTATTCTCTCTCTCTCTCTCTCTCTCCCCCTCTCTCCCTCTCCCTCTCTCCTCTCTCTCCCCCCCCTCCCTCCCTCTCCATTTTACCAATGACGGAATTCAGATTTAGCGAGTTTACACTTTGGCTAATTTCTATTTTGAATTCCACATGTGGCTAGCGGCCTTACACTTGCATGCAAATGTCACTGCTGTGTCATAAAGGCTTAGTAACAATGCGGGTGCAGTGCTTCCACACACCTAAGCTAACTGGCCTGTTGTGTTTTCAGAGAGTACATTTACAGATAGTTTTAATTTTCTTATAGTTTTCTGTATTTTACATGTTCTACAGTAAGCTTCTGTTATGTTCATAACTAGAAAATGATAAACTTGAAAAAAAATTCTTACCATACAAGCTTGACTCAGCCGATATTCCATAGTTAATACTTCTTGCAAGGTCTTTGAAGACCCCTCCATGAGTTGCCTTAGTGTGATCTTTAGGGACGTTGGAGACATTTTATTGATTGCCTATTAGAGAAAAATTTTTTACTAGTTTTAGACCAATAGTTCCTTTATTGTCTGTAATAAAGTAGGTGAGTTTTGATATAAATCATATTAAAATCTGCTCAACAGTACTTTGATATGACAGTCCCATAAAAGTGAGATTACGCCTTAGCCTAACCCTGCCAAAGCACCAAACGGAAGTTTTCTAATCCCACAAAAAGAAAACCATTTCATCAGTGCAATAAAATCTATACCTATAACTTAATAAATCTATATTTGGTATCTTGCCTGATATAAATTATGATCCCAACCAAGTACTCAGTGATTATGCTTACATAAACTTAATTAATACATGCCTTAGAAACCACTAACCACTACGAGAAGCTGTTTCACTTTATAATATAAAGGTACAGTAGAAATACCATAGCACGTCCTTCCCACTCTGACACTAGATAAGTGTCTTAACTATAGTCTTCACCTGTAAATAAATCCACTTACCTTGGAAGTAAGTAGAGAAACCTATTCAAGATTCAAGGTACTGTGAAGCGCTCTTCTATCGTATTTAAATATTTAATAAAATAAGAATTATAAGCCTAACTGCTTGGCTACAATGCTATGTCACTTCCTTTTGAATTTAAAGGTGCTATTCCTAGTGTCCCAATACATCTGTATGACTGGGACTACAACAGCTGCTGCAAGACGTCCCATTATATGTACAACAAAGTAAACTAAAGAAACAAGAATGTTATTAAGAAAATCATAAGGAGGGCTGGCCAAGTGGTGCAATGGTTAAGAACTGGCTTGGGACGCCAGAGGGCCCCGGTTCGGATCCCACATATGAGGGCCAGTGACACCGCCCTCTGCAGCTAAGATGCTGAAAAATAGCTCGACCTGGGGCTGGGTTGCCATGAGTCGCCGGCGAAGGCGTAGGCTGCAGCCCTTGCTGCAGTGGGTTGC